TATTATTTTTGCACTCAAAGTGTTTGATGAAATGCTTGTGAGGGGCATGGTTGTTGGTCACAGTTTATTCACCTTAGAGTTCTGCTTGGTGGATTATTGGTCAGACTTTAATTTGACTTTGTAGTTTCAATTTTTTGTAGGGCAGATCAATTTCGTCATTAATGGGAAGGTGTAGGAGATTGAGAAATTCAATTAGAATTGTCAAGAAAGTCACACCGCAGCAACACCCCAATCACACTCAAGTCCGGCAGCCAACTGTGGGTCCGACACATCATGAACATCTTATTACTACACATCAAAACATGGGTGAATGTATACAGTCACCAGGTAAAGTATGATTCTGTACTCAACCTCTCTAGTATGATTCTTTAAATTTTAATTGTCTGAATATTATTTTGACAAGCCTTCCTCACTATATACACCTACCCCTCAATGCAATGAGATTGTGCTTTCTTGGTTGATCAAAACAAGCTTGTTTGTGGTCTTATACTAGAGTTTTGAAATGGTCAAATCCTGCCTGGTGTGGTTTATAGATATGTGGTTATTAACTAAGCGCGCATCATCTAGGGACAACGAAACTGATAAATTTTAATAGGCTGAATAGAAGAATCTAGAGGATTGACTCTGAACATCAGGATTTATTCAGCACAAAGAGGGCCGGTGAAAATGTGGAATATTTTCTAATTTGCCTTCTACACCTAATCCCAACTCTAAAGGCTCAAGCTTTAATTCAAACACAAAACACAATTCTCAACCTTGATCTAAACTCAGTTTTAATAGATTCTAAAAGATCTCTTAGTAATCAAATGGATACTAATCTATCCACTAAACCTCCACCATTTTTCGCCATACAAAGTTCACTCTCCCCTGATACCATTCCCTAACAAACACAACCGGTTTTACCATGAGAAATGCAATTCTCCTGCCTCCCTCTGGTACTTTCTTTTTTCTCGTAGAAAATTTAGAGAGAATCAAACACGAAGATCCGTAAAAAAGACGAAAAATTTCCAGCATTTATCACACTAGTTACAGAAATGGAAGATCCAGGTCGCCTCCATCAAACAACACAAAAATCATTAACTTTCAACAAGAAAAACCAAACAAATTCAAAAATAAACAAAAGGAACGAAAAGTTTGATGAAGAAAAAGATGAATACATACCAAACAGGAAGCTGGAAAATGGATAGCTCTGAATTTCTCTAGAGAAAATGGAATCCTTCAGGAGGCTACAATGGTTAATTGGCGGAGAGAGGAAGAAGAATGATGAGGCGTAAGAGCGGAGGGCGCCTTAAATTTATAGATGATCTTAAAGAAAAATAAAGATATTTTTGTATTAAAAATTGTGATTATATTTAATTATAGTACTAAAATAGAAGTGTGTAGTTCACATCATAAAAATATTATAACATTACAACATTGAAGTTCTGCAGTCCACATCATAATGCCCCACACTTATATAATAATGTTGCCGTAGTTGAAAACACATGAAAGAAAATGTCTAATCTACCTAGTATGTTTTAAAAGGAAAATTACTTGCATGATTTGATTAAGGTGGTAAAATGTCTAAAGCAAAACAGGAGACACAACTACAGAGTACTCTGTTTTCCTGTTTTTCGTTCCTTTCATCCCTCGTGTTCACCCAACAAAAATTGTCAAAACAGTACATGCAAATAATACTGGTTAAAGTGGAAGCTGAGATCAGCTTAAAGTGGGATGCAAGATGGTTGCTCTCATCCCATATTAATTAATATGGGACCATATCTGAATCTCATTTAATTTTCATAAACGAAAATAAAGTAAAAGTAACCAGTTTGAAATGTGGTGGTTGGATAGGGATTATTATGGGACTCTAAATTTATATGAAAATAAAGTAAAAATAGAAGTAAGAGTAGAAGTAACCAGTTTGAAACCGGTTGCTGATTGAAAC